TGGGGCAGCAGGAATTTGAGTTTATAGTCCTAGGGCCAATCAAGGTCTCCTGATTTAATAGCCTCCTATGAGTCCTTGGCACAGAAAGCAAAGAGGGCAGGGCCTTGCTTGGGAAATCACCATCCCCTCCTCTCTCACCCGGTACCTGAGCCCACCCCCCTTCAGGCCACACCCCCCAGGGCTTCCTGCCTTTTCTGGCCAAGGGGCTGTGGCTGTGCTCAGGAAGGGCCCTTCTGCCCCCTCTCGCCCATCTGGTTGTGGTGAGTGGCGGGCCCCCCTCACCAAGGACCATGTGATCAGGGTTTAGGCAGCCCCTCGTCACAATTCAGTCATTTCTGGGTCCTGTAAGCCCATCGAGTATGGGAGCTACTCCTTGTCCACTCCTGTAGACGGTCCAGCTCCTCTGTAGCTCGCCTCCTGAGTCTTGGCTGCTGGCCAGGACACATATTCAGAGCTCACCAAATATTTACTTTAGGGAGGATGTGTTCACGGCAAGGTTCATGACTAAGTTCTCCAGAAAACCCATTTGTTCTGGGCTGGACTTTGAGATAAGACCCAGGAGACTTCTCCTCTTGACTCCAGTTTGTTCCTAAATTAACGTGGGTGGGACCTGGAACGAGCTCTCTGCCTTTTCTTTTTCCGAGAGAAAAGGGCAAATCCTGACCTCTAACCCACTCCCACGGGTTTGGGTTCAGAGCTTTTCTGACCAGACTTTTCAGAGGTCACAGTGAGCATCGAAGGTGATACTGTCTCTAGAAGAGATGAGCCGTCTTCAGTCAGCCACTGAAATGGGTGCATCACTCATTGGATGGCTCTGCCTGGAGCTCCCCCTGCTCATCCCTCCTTTACTGGGCTGCACAAACTGGTGCATTCACCGGGTGTGTGCATGCGGGCCGCCGGCTGGCTGGTCTCCTAGTTCTGCCAGTGGCTACTGCCCTGCTGTCTGTTGCAGGTGGCCAGCTCGTGTTGGCATCCTGCTGTTTCCATTGGCAGCAAGTACTGACCTGTCACTCTATTCCCCGTGGACCTTGGGTTGGCCCATCTGCCTGCTGCCTTCCCCATCAGGACTCTCCTGCTGGGTTGCAGACGCTCCTGTGTGCTTGGCCTGATCTTTCAGGAGCAGGGTTTATAAATTCAGGGGGTGCCCCCTCCATAAGTGCAGACTCACTGCATTCATTTCTACCAGTGACCTCTTCTTACTGCTGCCCCCGGGACCTCTTCTCTCACTACCTCTGTCCCCATCCTCTCCACCCCAGGATCACTTTGTTTCCTACTGTATGTTTCTTCCTCTGCCCCTTTCAAGCAGTCTGAAAGGAAAGATACTGACGATGATGATAATGATAATGTAGTATTATTATAGCAAATCCATAGTGCTTGTTAGGTACAAGTCACTGATCTGAGCACTCCATATAGATTAACTCACTTAATCATCACACCAACCCTGTAGGGGGGTATTATTATTATTATTCCCATTTTACAGATGAGAAAATGAAGACTCAGGTGGCAAGTAACCAGCCCCTTGGGTCACATGGCTCATAAGTGATAGAGCTGGGGTTTGAACCCGGCAGTCAGGCTCCAGATGTTACAGTTTTAGCAGCGTGACTTTTTTTCTTAGGCCGACTTTTGTCTCTGTCTTTATGGTATTTATTTGCAGTTTTATTTATTTAAAAATTTTTGATGAGGAAACCTGAGGGCTATTGGCAAGGAGAAAGGTCCAGGGGATGAGGGAGAGGGTTGGCAGTTGAAAAATAGGGGTGAAACGGGAACCCCCCCTTCAGAAGTTTGGCATGAGGTTAGAGGCAGGTATTGGTGGCCCATTTTTCTGAGATCTCCTATCGACCTATGGAGTATTCTGGTAGACCAAGGGCCCTGTTTTGTCCATGAAGCAACTCAGACTCACAGACTAGGAACAGTCCTGAATTCTTGGGGTTGTGATCTTATCTTCTGTAATGTGTGGGAATTTTTAAACCTTTTATTTGAAATATTAAACTTACAGAAGTTTTAAGATAAGCGCACAGAGCTCCCATATTGTCCAGATTCCCGAATTGTTAACTATTTGCTTTATCCTTTTCTCTCTCTCTCTCCACGGATGCACACGCACACACACGGTATCCTAAAAGTTCCAGTGCAGTTTTAAACTGTAGTGATTCCAGAAGCATAAATGCAGCCTTCTTAAAACATCACTTACTTAGTTTTGGGAGTTTTGAATAATAAATGCTTAGGTTTTGTTTTAGTCATTGTTTGCCATTTTCAGTCGGAGGGACTGAGTCTGTGTGGGTGGATTGTTGTCAGGAAGAAAAAACCCATGTTTTAGACACTAGAATTTTGAGTCCAGAGAGGCTAGATAACTTCCTGCCCTGGTTGGTCACAGATGGCAGTTGGCCCGGGGGTAGCTTCCTGTCTCCTGAGCAGACTGTAGCCCCTGGATTGTGGCATTCCACGAGCATGGCATTTTCTTCTTAACAGACCATGTTGGGATGGTTGTTTGGCTTGGATCTGGAAGCTGGTTACAGCGCGCCATCCGTGTGACTCCATTTCTGTAGCCTGAGTTCTCCGTGCCACTTCATGCCGGCAGCTTCTTTCCACCCAGCCATCTTTCCTGAGGGCCACAGGGGAGCCTGGAGCTTCCGAGTGCCGGTGACATAGGATGCACTGATGGACTTAGTAATGGGTTTATATCCTACGGAAATGTAGGTCACAGGAAGCTTAGCTGGGCATCTCCAGGGAAGGCAGTCGTGTGTCCCCTCGGTTGGAGTCGCCTGGCTGCAGCTGTAGCCTGAGTAATGGTGGCTCAGGGACAGAGACTCCTAAATCAAAATCGACAGGCTTTCCTTTACCCTGGCGGGAAAGTCAGACTTTAGAGCTGGGTCAGGGACATCTGGGGAAAGGTGGGGAAGGAATAATGACTTCTGGCTCTGTCACAAGGATGCCCCCAAAAGGCAAGCCTTCACGCAGGTGGCCCTGTCTGGGGACATGGGCTGGGGTTGCCTTCTGTGACTCTGTGGTTTGGCTTTGCCAACACTTCCTTTTTCTGGACTTCAGGAACCTAGAGCTGTGTCATTCCATACATAGGGGAAGGAGGCCTAGTGTTATGATGACCATGTGGAAAAGACAGGGGAGTTAACCTAGACTGTGGCATGGTTGCCAAAAGAGCATGTATATGCTTTGAGTACATTAATAAAAGTATAAAGCTAAGGAAAAGGGAGGTTCTTAGTTCAACTAAACTCTCCTCTGGTCAGAAGGCATGAAACATTATATTCAGTTCTGGATCCATTTTAGAGGTGAGGGAAGGTATTAGAGAGATGCAAAAAAAGTTGCCTTAAAGGGAGTGAGCCTCCTGTCATTGACAGTATTCATGCAGAGACCAGGGAAACAGTGTCCTGGGTTCTTTCTAGTGGATCCTAAGATGCATATCCCAGGCAAGGTGTTGTGGAGCAGGCAAGCTTAAATTGCAGTCTGCTAAATAAATTGCAGTGAATTCACACCATAGAATACTACACAGCAGCGAGAACGAACAGTCTAGAAAGACACACGACAATGTGGGTGACACTCATACATATAGCAGCATGAGGAAGGCAGACCCAGAGAGTACACACTGTCACTCCATTTATATATAGTAGACAGAAGGACAAAACAAATCGAGAGTGTTAGATGTCAGAGTGGCTGGCGAGTGCCGTCGTGGGGTTGGGTGCAGTGGTGGTGGCTGCAGGGGGCGTGAGGAGGCGTCTGGTGTTGGTAATGTGTGTCTTGATCTGGTGCTGGTGACGCGGGTGGTTGCAGCTTGTGAGAATCCAGTGAACTCTACTCTTGGGATGTGTGCACTTTTTTGGATGCATGTTATACTTCAGTAAAAAGTAAAACTATGATAGACTGAAAATGGTTAAATCACTCAAGTGGGCTACAGGTTGCAGAATTACCTGTGAGCTTCTGGAATTTACAGAGATAGAGATAGAGATAGAGGATTGCCTGTGAGCTTTTGAAATTTACAGAGGTAGAGAGAGGCAGAGATAGAGATAAGGGACCAGGTGGCCACTCCACCCGGGTGGCTGACGGAGACTGTGGCCTGTGTGTTACAGAGGAGTGAGCTGATTTTCTATTATTTTTAAATTTCCTTGGTACCCAGATAATACATCTTAGTGACCACTGAGAGGCCAGTTCTGTGTGAAGGGTTGGACAGGCTTCCCAAGCTGTGCCGGTCCGGGGGGCAGGCTCTTCTTAAGGGATTCTCTCCACCATTGACACACGCCGTGCCTTTTCAAGCAGGGCCCCCGGGTGCCGTGGGGATGGGCAGTGGGGATGCCGTGCCCCTTCTGTGTGTGCGGGGAGGGGGGATGTTTCATGTTTTCTTGAAATGCCAATGCCTCCCTCCTCACTGCTCTCTTGTGCTTCCTCCAGCTTTTTGATCATGTCGCCGAGTGCCTGGGAGACTTCATGGAGAAAAGAAAAATCAAGGATAAGAAATTACCCGTGGGATTCACATTTTCTTTCCCTTGTCGGCAATCCAAAATAGACGAGGTAAGGACGTCCTGGGACGACGGGGCGCCGCAGGCCGGCTGGAAAAGCTAACGGACACTTTTTCTCTACTGCTTTTCCCTTTTGCTTGCAGGATGGCCTGCATGTCTCATTTTTTTAGAAACATTTGTAGAAATTAATGTGAGGTTATGATATTGTGTGTATTTTTTCAATTACTTTAGTTTAAATGTATTTTTGGAGATGAATCATGGTGTTTGTGACCATCAGGTAGAGAGAACCATTTATTAAACCAAGTAAGTGAAGGGAAAAAAAGTAGGTTTAGTGACAATGCAGAGAGGTTCAAAAGCCCTTTGCCAGAGGGGCACAGTGTGGTGTTTACCCAGAAGCCATCCTGGTTGTAGCAAATCTGGTCAGGGCTCCACTCCTCATGGGCCAGGGCCACCTCTCCATAGCGTCTGCCAGTTGGTGGCTCTGGTCTCAGTGAGGCGCTTGGTTCCCTTTTGGACCTCCAGGTGACTTGTTGCACTCAACTTCTTGTTTGTCATTGGTTCATTCATTCCCTGCTCAGCAAGGGCGGACTCAGACATCCCATGTGGCAGCATTGTACCTCAGAGCACTGCAGGAGTACAAGATAAATATATGCAACCTTGTTTCTTTTTTACATGAAGAGACAGAAAAAGCCATACACACCCAGCCCCCTATGAATAAACTCCTTGTAATAGGAACTCTGATGGTTAATGTTATTGAGGGCCGTCAGGTGCCAGGCTCTGTTCTCATGCAACTTCAAAATTAGCACACATAATCTTCAAACACCCCCATGAGTGAAGTGCTATGATCCCCACTTTACAGATGAGGAAACTGAGGCTTGGAGGGTTAGGAACCTGCTTAAGGCCACCCAGCCAGGAAGCAGCAGAGCCTGAATGAGCTCTGGGCAGTCTGGCTCCAGAGTGCATGCTGGGAACCAGTCTGCTTTTCTCCAGGATGGTAACGTTAAGGCCCACGTCACCCTCCCCACTTCTGGGCAGCATCCGTGTACCCCTTTTCCAGTATTGTGCGCACCCTCTCCTGGGCACTGCTTCATGTGTGGGAGCCCTTGTGCCTGTATAAATTGTGCAGTCACGTAACGTTAGAGCAAGAAGGGGCTTGAGAGCTCAGCAGGCCAAGTCCCTCTTTTCACGATGGAAACCCAGCCTCCCGAGGTCATCGGGCTTATTAATGGCAGATCCAGGAGTAGAATCCCAGGCCCCACCTCCTGCCCCCCCACCACCACACACGCACAGACACACACACGCACACTCGGCTAAAGGCCTCTGAGAGGTTGCCGTCTCATTTTTCCTCCATTCAGGACTGCTGTGGCCAATCCAGACCCTCTCTCTGGTATCTGGCGTTGCCACACCTCCAAGGTGTTCAGCTCACTCTGGCCCCAGGGCGTCTTCCCAAACTGTTCACAAAGCCTGTTGTGGTCAGTGCTAAGTTCTCCGTGGCTTTTGAGAACTGAGACATGACAGTCAAGAACTGAGACATGACAGTCACTCCTTCTGGGCAGAGACAGTGTGGGACACCCCACTTCCCACCAGGAGAGGTGGGAGATGGCCTGGGAGTGAAGGGACTGTGCTCGCTGTTGGTCACTGCTTCATCAGCCGCTGTTGGCCTAGTGCTGTCCCTGGGCTGGGCCAGGCCCTGGGAGAGATCGGCGAGCAGAGGCGGCCTGGCCCCCAGAAGGCACAGTCTTGGGGCTGGCCCCGTGGCCGAGTGGTTAAGTTCGCGCGCTCCGCTGCAGGCGGCCCAGTGTTTCGTTGGTTCGAATCCTGGGTGCGGACATGGCACTGCTCATCAAACCACGCTGAGGCAGCGTCCCACATGCCACAACTAGAAGGACCCACAACGAAGAATATACAACTATGTACTGGGGGGCTTTGAGGAGAAAAAGGAAAAAAATAAAAATATTAAAAAAAAAAAAAGAAGGCACAGTCTTCCAGGGAAGAGGGCATTACTGGAGGGGAGAGAACATTTTCATGGGCACAAGAACCCTGCAGGGCAGAGCAGTTGTGCCTGACGTAGGGGTATTGTGGGTGGAGAAGGAGCCAAAGGCAGGGCATCCACCTGCAGGCCTTGACCCCCATCTGGGGAGGCCTCCTAGGCCGGCTGCACTTCCTGGGAGCCCAGTGGATCCCAAGCTCTGATTACCCCTCCAGAGGGCCTGTGCCCACTCCTCAACCCTGCCTGGGACCTTCAAGATTGTCCCAGTCTAGATCAGTGTCTTATTCCACAGAGCAGCAAAGTGACCCCCAGAGGAGTTAGGGGAACTGCCCACCAGGAAATGGGCAGAAGTGTGGAAATAGGACCAGGTCTACAGATTTTTAACCTCACAGTCTTTTTACAAGACCATGTTCTCTGACGCTTTCTGGGGGGTGGGGTTAAGGGAAGAATGCAGAGCATCCGGGGGTTTTGGAGCGCCTGGCTTAGCTGCAGGCTGCTGCTGAGCACAGAACCACAGCTTCTCCCAAGTGCTCGCCCTTCCCAGTGCATCCTCCAGGCTCTGTGGCTTTCACAGTGAGCGAGGGCGAGCTCCCTATCCCTGGGTGGCCCCGGAGGCCTGTCGGGCCTGAGCAGCAGCTCTTCGCAGCCCTGCCACATTTGCAGCAACTTTCTCCATTCAGAGAAGAACTCTCAAGTATAACAATTATTTTTCTTTTCTGGTATCTTTGATTTTAAAAAAAAAATACAAAAGCAATATGTAAGACTATTGAAATAATAGAAAGATATAAAGCAAAAAGTAAAATTCCTACCCTTGCACATTCCAAGTGAATAACCATTGGCTATCTATCCTTCTTGATGCTTCTCTATTAATATACAAACAGAAATGGATCATATTATACAAACAGTGGAGTCATAGCTTACAAATGGGAGTTAAATTCCTAAGTTGGGGAAGAGGCATAAATGAGATATAGTCAATATTATCCTTAAATCTCTAGGACCTGGCTCTTAGAAGCTCAGGAGCCAAGAATTATCTTAGCATTTCGTTTTTCTTCCCAATTTGGCTCTGACTTTCTTTTCCTGGGGCTATGGAAGCCAAGGTCTGATTTGAGAGAGAGGAAGGGTGATCAGGTAGTAACAGGATTTCTCTTGTTCTCTTTAATGAAGTCTGGCTGTGCAGTTGACACCCAGTTAGATTTGCATGCTGCCTGACAATACCGTATTGGCCAGCCACTTGCTGGATTCTGGTTTGACCTGCAGGATTTTTCCCATGGCAGCCCCCAGAGAAATCTGTCATGTAGGTGAATGAACAGGAGATGAGACAGTCTGGCCCTGTTCCCCAGTGATCTGGAGTGCATCACTTGTCCCCTCTGGGCCTCTGCTTTGTCACTGTCCTTAAGCAGGCTCCCCAGGGACCTGGGGGTTCTGGAGGCCTCCCAGCCCTCATCAGCCTCATCTGCTCTCTTTTGCAGGCCATCCTGATCACCTGGACAAAGAGGTTTAAAGCGAGCGGAGTGGAGGGAGCGGATGTGGTGAAGCTGCTTGAAAAAGCCATCAAAAAGCGTGGGGTAACTTCTCCTTGGGCCATCTGCCGTGGCCACACAGCGGTGGGGGAGTGTGGGGAGGAGGCTGTGTGCCAAAACAGACCAAGGCCCTTTCCGGGGGGCAGTAATGCATGGCCTGAGGCCTCACGTGGGAGGTCTTGAAGAGCTAGGCAGGTGAAAGGTGGGGGTCCACAGTCCAGAAGGTTGGGGGTGGTTCGAAACACAGCTCCCTAAAGTGCTGCCCAAAGGATTCAAGGCCTTGTGCAGGGAATGGCCTCCTTCTGACAGGGCTGGGCTGTGCGGGGAGCTGGCATGGTCAGGTGCAGCCTGCCGCTGCTGGAACAAGGCCAGTCAGCACATGGATGTAGTGGGGTGGTTTGCAGAGGGCTGTGGCTCCGTGAGTAAAATCCACTTGGAAGAGAATCTTAAGCCAAATAATTAAGGGGACCGTGTAGTTTCCATAATTTAATCACTGTGCTCTAATCCAGTTAATTTGAGTGCCCGTAGTAAAGAAAGCCGCACCCCCCACAGGAGCAGTGGTGGCTGTGAAAACGGGAGTTCTGCTGCCATGTCTCTTTAAGGTTGGTGGTCTCTGCCTCCATGTGTGATTGGACGGTGACACCCCGTTATCTGTCCCCAGGATTATGATGCCAACATTGTGGCTGTGGTGAATGACACGGTGGGGACCATGATGACCTGTGGCTATGATGACCAGCACTGTGAAGTTGGGCTCATCATTGGTAACGTCCACCACTTTCCTTGTCCTTCCTTCAGCTGATGTTTCCAGAAGCCACTGCCTCCTCTCATGACTTTGTGTGGCCATCACTTCTGATCTTGTCTGTCTCTCTCCAAGGCACTGGCACCAATGCTTGCTACATGGAGGAACTGAGGCACATTGACCTGGTGGAAGGTGACGAGGGCAGGATGTGCATCAACACGGAGTGGGGGGCCTTTGGGGACGACGGGTCCCTAGAAGACATCCGCACTGAGTTCGACCGGGAGATAGACCGGGGCTCCCTCAACCCCGGCAAACAGCTGTGAGTCCCACCTTTCTTGCTAGTCATCCATATGACGTAGGGGACACTTAAGGAAAGATTTGGGGTGGGAGATGAAAGGGGCAGAGAGCCATTTGGTCAGAATGGGAAAAGCCCATCAAATTTGTAATCTGTATTGCTCCTTTTTTGGATAGATACACAGACGTGGAGTCTGCAACTTTAAAAGCACATTTTAAATGATTTATGTTTGTTTAATTACACTATGATTGTGTCCTTGTAAAACATTTTGAAAATTAAAAGCACAGAAGCGTCAGTGTAAAGCTGAGGTTTACAAACATTTCTGTACACTGTGGTCACTGGCATCGCTGCTCAGGGTGAGAGAGGCCACGGGCTATGGGGGGCAGCTGCCGAGCCGGGGAGAGGGAGTGTCCCTTCCTTCAGCACATATGCCTCAAGCGTTTCGTGTGTGCCGAGCTCTGGGCTAGGCTCCGAGGATACTGAGTAGTGCCTTCCCTTCCAGGACTTGACATCTAGTTGGGGAGACAAGTCACACATGCAAATACCTGTCGTACAGAGGTGTGGGTGAGAGCCATATGAGTCCTACAGACCTTCAGGAGATCAGAGAATGGAGAAACTTCTTCCCTGTCATGTATGGCCAGACGGATCAGAGTTGATATAGAGCATCAGACCTACTGGGCAAGTTGTTTCTGGCCTTGGAGAGCTCCTTGCTGCAAAAGTAGGAGTGACAGTATTCACTAGCTTGGGTTTTGCTTCGTTTGAGCTCCTCATTTCCTGAAATGCTTGCTCATATTTGTGATGCTAGCATACTCCTAGCTCTCTCTGATCGACCCAGCCTCCCGGCAGCCTTGTCCTGGAGTTGGATGCTGTGAGCCTGCTGACAGATGTTGACCCATCCTGTTGGCTTCACAGCCTTTATCCTTGTGCCAGAGAGAAACAGGAGTTTACTGATTGTTTTGAAACCCGTCACCCAAAAGATCTCAATACCCTCGGCTGGACGATTGAGCTTTCCTCCCAAATTAATGGAACTGCATAAATGGCCAGCCCCCTTCACTGGGGGTGGTGGTAGTGAATAAACTAGGTTTCTCAGTGAGAGGATCCCAAGTTCTTAGACCCAGAGCTCAGCATCTTCTTTGCAGCCTGAGAACTGGGGCTCCGGCTTGGTGATAAAGGGCCCCAGTTCCAAAGCTTTGGCAGTCAAAGGTTTTTTTCTCCCTGATCCACTGACCTAACCCCTATCCTAAAACCTGAAGCTCTTTACTGTGCCTCTTTATACGTCTCACCGGAGGTCTTTGGATGTGCTTGATTGCAGTCCTACCTCAGGCACCTCTGGGGGTGCTCTGTAATATATGGCATTGGCACCATATTACATCTCTAAAATCCTCAGACTCACAGTCCCACGCACATGTGACCCCAGGGGTTTCAGATGAGAGATTGTGTATCTGTAGTTACTGTCAATCACAACCAGAAGTCACCCTTCTCGGCAGAGCAGGTAGGGCAGTTATCTGTGATAACTGAGCAGATATGGCCCAGGCCCTTGTCTCTGTCCTTAGCCCCAGGGTGGGGATCCTGCATGGCTTGGCTAGAAACCTGGACTTCTCTGCCTTCCATTTTGATTTATTCCTGAATTTCTCTAAAGGGCTAAACTGTATCCCCAGGCTGAACTGTGAATTGGCCTCACAGTTGGCTTGCGATAAACATTTTTGGAATGGTGGATACATGGATGGATGGGGGGTGGATGGATGGATGGTGGTTGGGAGGTGGCTGGGTAGATAAACAGGTAATTGGATGAAAGAGTGAAACCTGGGAGGAAGTCAGTTTTCTCTAGTACGCTTCCTTGCTTACTGATTACCATAAGTCAGGTCTTGTTAAGAACAATTCTGAAGAGATGACAAATTTTTGAGTTGCATCACATACTTCTAGAAATAGGCTATTGCCTGGAGGATTTTTTGCCAAAGGAGATTTTTGCTATTCTCTCAGGCTCCTGCCTGAGTTTTTGGGGTCTTTGCTGTGTCATCTTTAGTGGAATGCTAAATTCTTCAAAACCCTTCTGTCCTCCTTGGGCCAGGAAAGGTGTTTGCTCCATTTGGCTGATGGGGAAATTATGGTACTGGGATAGGCCAAAGCTGGCTCAAGACTCTTTATTGAGGTTTGATCTGGCTTAGGTTTGGGATTTTCTGCCCTGTTTGAAAGTTTGAGGTTTTCAGCGTGAGCTTCCAGAATGTCTAAGAGGCATCCTTCATCATTTATAGACAAAAATCATCAAGGGTGGTCCAGAGGAGTGGATTTTCATCCCTGACCGCACATTAGAATTACAGAGAGGCCTTTAAAAAACATACTGTTGCCCAGGCATCCTCTCACCTACCCGCTTCCCCCCACCCTGATTCCGATTCAGTTGTCCTGGGCTGGGGCCTGGCCTCAGGAGCCGGAAGCCTTCCCAGGTGACTCCAGTTTTTCAACAGGGTTGGAAATGTAGGTGTGTTCGATTTGTGCAAAGGCTCTCAGCGCCCGGGGGGCGCTAGACGACTACGCACGCACTTACTCATTTGGATTGAAGTTTGCATTTGCTAAGTACCAGGTGTAGGCGGTTGACAGGAAGGATATCGTCTCGGTAGCTCTGTGGCTCCTGCCTTCATTCGTGACTGCTGTTTGCAGGACCTCGGGAACTGCTGGGAGTATTCAGGACCCCCAGCCTTGCCCCAGGGCTAGAAGGTCTCTCTCTAAAAGGGCTCAGACTTTGGCTTCTCCCCACTGCTCTTACATTCCAGGCCTTGGCTATTCTTGTCACAGACCTGTCTCCTACTGTAGACTTTGGTCACACCTTCGTTCATTTTTAATTCTCCTTCTCTTCCGCTTCTGTCTTCTCCGGCCTCTTGCTCTTCTGTTTTCTCTGTTGCATCTGGAATTTCGAATCCCATTTTCCTGTGATTCCTTATCACATCCTTCAAAATGCAAAGAGACGCCCACCCACAAAACAGCAGCAACGGGATGGTTTGGCCTGGAGAATACTTTGGCCTAAGTGGTGGTGGAGTAACTTTCACATCTTTTCAAGTCAGCCCTCAAACAGCTTTTCTTGCTGTTGCTCTGCCCGCTCCATAGAACCTCTCAGCAGCTCTAATCCCGGTTAGCGTGACCCCAGACCTCTCCCTCCTTCTCTTCCCTGGGCCACCCATCGGAACAGACCCTGGCTGCCAAGAACTCCCCATTGGTGTGCAAGTCCATGCTCTCCTTGTCTGAATATGATCCTGCACCCTGCCCTTCGCAGCCTCCACAGGCGCTGTGGGTCTCAGCCCCGCCTGCCCACCAGAATGGTCATAAGCATCTGATTGCTGAGAGGCAGATTGTGACTTGCTAGGTTTCACTTGAGCAGAAGGGGAGCTCAGCAGTGGAGAAGGAGCCCTGCCTTCTCTGTGAGCCTTTGGCTTGAGCTGAGTGAGGCTCGTGAGTGGTGGTGTTTCCTCTCACGGGTTCTGGGGACTGGGAAAGGACCATCCCTGGCCTAGAGCTTCCTTTATCTGGAAAAGGGGATGTCAGTATCTATGTATGTAAAAGACCATCATGTAGAAAAGGGAGCGCTCGTTCTGAGTGTCGCCAGAAGGCTGGTTTTAGCTCATCCTGTGGGAAGAACCTGTCCTATTGCACATTGCCCACCAAGGGGGGCAGGCTGCCCAGGAGGAAGTGAGCTGGTGGTGGACAAGCAGAGGGTGGGTTAGGGATGGGGCTAGGTCACTGCTAGCGTGACAGTGTAATAGCTAGCACTTAATGACACTGTCCATGAGAGAGGCAGAACAGCACAGTGGTTAGAGCATAGCCTCTGGGGTTAGATTTAACTGGATTCAAAGTGTGGATTTGCCACTTATTAGCTCTGTAATCAATGGGCAAGTTATGTAACCTCTCTATGCCTCAGTTTCCTCATCTTTGAAATGGAGATAATGATAAAGTCTACATCATAGGGTTGTAATGAGGATGAAGTAAGTTCCTATAGTTATGTGCCACGTAACGACATTTCCGCCAATGACCGATCATATATATGACGATGGTCCCATAAGATTAGTACCCTGTAGCCTAGATGAGTAGAAGGCTATATACCATCTAGGTTTGTGTAAGTACTACAGGGGAGGAAGAAATTTTCCTCCACACTTTAGGTTCTTCTGGAGGGTCTAAGAAGTAAATCGACAGGAGACAGATTAACAGGAGAAAAACAAACAAAAGTTTAATAACGTGTATACATGGTAGAAATGGAGGAAAACCAAGTAACTCTCCAAAATGGCCAAAACCCTTACCTTAAAGACCATCCTCAGCTAAAGACAAAAGAGGATGATGTTGGAGGTGGGAGAGTCAGGACTTCATAAGGAAGGCAAGGAATTCACAGGGAGGTGAAAAGGAGCACATGTTTGGAAAACAAGTGTTTGGCCACAGAGAAACAGAAGAACACAGAGGGAAGCCCAAGAAACAGGCTTTTCTAGGTTCCTCCCTGTCTACCCCCTAGTTCACACTATGCTAAGGTGATAGCTCGCTTCCTGAGACAGGTTTTTTAATCTGAATTCTTTTAGGCAGTTAAGGGGGAGGTAACAAGAAAAACGTTGAGTCTTTTCTTTCTTAAAAATAATCAGCCTAAGATAATCCTCATGTTAAAGAGACACATTTTGGGGTGGCACAATTTGTTCCCCTTCAGTACACTCTGTGATACATGTATGACGGCGAAATCACGTAATGACGTATTTCTCAGAATGTAGCCCTGTCATTAGGTGATGCCTGACTGTCCATGTGAAGTGCTTTATTAAAGTGTGAGATGCGTAGGAAGGGCTGTAGCGCTCATTGTTAGCCAGGCACTGTGCACTTTGCCTATATTAACCCGTATCCTCTGTACAGCCACCTTACACGTAGGTTCTGCCATTACCCCCATTATACAAGTGAGGAAACTGAGGCTCAGAGAGGTGAGTAGCACAGTAAGCGGCAGAGCCAGGGCAGTTTGGCACCACTGCAGCTCCTGCCTGCTCTGAGATTCCGGCTCGGGGCTGCCCAGAGGCTGTTCGCACAGGTGCTTGGGGCAGCGACTGGGCAGCCAGCACGCAGAAGGGTGCTTTCCTGCCACAGATCCTTGACACGGCCATGGCTGGGGCAGTCCTGTCTGGTCTTGTCAGGAGCAGGAACAATGGGACTGTGTTTCTTTGCGTCCTGTGTTGATGGGTGAGGGAGGGCCGGGTGCTCAGGTCCCAGCAGCATCCCTGGCTCCCAGGCCTGGCTCTGAATGGAACAGATTGTTTTGCTGTGTCACAGCCAGCTCTGGGTGTGCCAGCTGGGCTCCTGCAAGAGGAGAGGCTGGCCGCTGGGATGTGGAGCTGCCTCTGATCTGTCCTGCTCAGGGCTTCCTCCGGTCCCTGGTCAGCCAGGACTCAGGGGCTCCATCTGGCTCAGATGTGGCATCAAGCCCTGGTTTGTGGCAGCCTCTTCCCTGCCCTGTTGGGCTCAAAATGGCTGCTGCAATTACAGAGTCCACACCTCACACCGCGCCTCCCAGGGGAGGCAAGAGAGCAGATTCCCTCTGTGCTTGGCTCGTGGCTGACCATGGCCAGAGCAGTGGGATGAGCTGATTGGCTTTAAGCTCCTCAGAGCCCTGCCCTGGAGGGTGAGGTCAGAGGGGGAGGAATGAGTTTCCCAAGGCAAATTCTTAATCCTTTTGGCTGGAGGAGGAAAAGATGGATGCCAGGGAGGAGACCAGCAGCCGTGCGTTTCAGCACTGTCATCTACTCAGCCCCGCCTCAGAGAAGACGTTTACCCTGTCTGAGCTGGGAAATGGAGAGGATGCTTCCTGGCCGCCTTCCCACAGGGCTTGGCCACCTCCCTTTAAAAAGCACAGCTTATGTTTTGAAAGAGATGTTCGTATTCTGCTCATTTCTGTCTGGGGGCCATCTCGTCATCCCCAATCTAAAGCCGAACGTTTTCCTGCTTTCCCTGCCTGCCCCTCCCTGGGTGCTCCTCCTCTTGCCCACCCTGGGGCTAGGCATGGGGTCCGATCGCCCCCACCTCCCCGGGCTCCCTGTCTCCTCGTCATTTACTCACCCAGGTGTGTGGTTCTGCTGCCTGTGAGCCTGTGAGGGGAGAGGCGATGTCTTCTCCTTTTGTGTCTGTCCCACTCCTCACGAGTTGCCCCAGTGGTGGGTGCAGACAGAGGAACTGACAAGTGCCTGGGTGCCTTTCTCCTGCAGGTTTGAGAAGATGGTCAGTGGCATGTACATGGGGGAGCTGGTTCGACTGATCCTGGTCAAGATGGCCAAGGAAGGCCTCTTATTTGAAGGGCGGATCACTCCAGAGCTGCTCACCAGAGGGAAGTTTAACACCAGTGATGTGACAGCCATTGAAAAGTAAGTGCCGCCCCTCGAGGCTTTCTGGGGGGCATGGGGCAGAGAAGAGCCACAGGTCTCTCCTTACCACCGAGTCCTGGTTTGGTGGGCTTCTCTCTCAAGAATTGCAGGGCTTTCTGGCTCAATCTCCCCTCTCTTAGCTGACCCATCCTGGGCTGGTCTCCTGTAGGCACCTAGCGGCAGCTCATTAAAGAACGTTCTAGTTAACTAGCAGCAAATGCTTCGTGGATGATTTAGCGACAAAAGCTGCCTCTTCTTCACTGCTCCCCCTCACCTCCATCCCCTCCCCAAGTGAGATTAGAGTCCAGGGAGCAGGTGACTGCAGTGGTGGAGAAGGCGCTGACCGAGCCTGGGGCCTGGGCTCGGAATGCCCTCCTGTTCTATCAGGACCTTCTCCAGACTGTTCCAGGGAACCCTAGTGACCTCAAGCTAATTGGGTGTTCCCTGAAGAAGGGGTGCTGTGGCCAATAGGGTGGGGACATACTCATATTTATCCTCCCTTTACGCTAATTATTAGCATATTAAAGAAAACTTAGTTCACTGTGGTTAACTCGGTCATTCCCCAAACTTCTTTTGTGCCTGAAACACCTCTCCCCTGTGCTTCCCCACACACATTCTCTCCCCTGTTAACAGCCAGAAGAAGTGTCCCCTGGCACAAGTTTGAGAAACATTGGTTAACGGATGAGACAGGACTGATAGACATAGGACAGCATCCAACCAGCAACCTGACTGCTACCATTTGGCCTCAGCATAAGAAACCCAGACTTCTCTGCCTCGATGGTTATTCGCGGGCCTTCACCCAAGAGGGAAGAAGGAAAACTTGATTCTGTGGCAAATTGACGTAGTCGGGTCCCTCTGAGTCTAAAGGACTCCTGTCTTGTGGCTGGCTTCCAGGTGCCACCAGGTTCTGTTCCTGGTTTGGGAGACTCTGTGTAGCTGTGTCAGGCTACCTGCTTAAATATAGGGCTAGTGCTAGAAATGCCCTTTCATCTCTGCACGAAGCCGTCATTCCCACTGCCCCTGCTGTGTCCTGGAAATTCAGATCGAGCCAGTGGCTTTACAGCTCTGGCTCCTGGGAGAAGATGCCCGTCAGCTGGCTTGGTGGTTAGAGAAGGAGGCTGGTGGAAATGGAAGGGAGTTGATCTGGACTTACTCTTCTGTCACGTCGGTGTGACATTTGTCCCAGTATCACTCTCCTTCAGGAGCGATTGGTACAGTGCCACAGTAAGCAGGCAGCCGTGCCCCTGCCTGGACTGGGGAGTCCAGCCATGTCTCTTCTTAAGGTTCCTGGTCAGCTGCTGGGAGGGGAGGGGAGCAGGAGGCTCATGGCTTGTCTTCCAAGTCATCAACAGAGTCAGGAAATACCTGCCTTCCTCTTGGCCTGCTTCTGGTGTTGGCTCTTTGGTTACCAAGAAACAAAAACCCGTTTGAACTAGCTCAAGAGAGCATGTATATTGTAATAAAGGCTATCTCAGAAAACATCCCACCAGGGCAGGTGTTAGAAGCATTCTCTTTAAAATCGGGAGCAAGACTATCCGGCATTGTCCTGGAGTCTTAGCCAGTGTTTAAAAAAAAAAAAGAAAAAGAAATTAAAAGCATAAGAATCGAAACAAAGAGGAAGTAAAAGTGTCACTCTTTGCAGACGGTAATTGTATGGAACACTGAAAGATACCTAGAAAGTGAATAGAATAGCAGGAGAGGTTAGGAAGCCGTCTGGAGATAAGATAGAAAATTATTGCCTATACACTGGCAGTAATTAAAATATGTATATATTAAGCCTTTTATTTTAGAATATTTTTGGATTTAGAGAAAAATTGCAAAGATAGATAGTACAGGGTGATCTCACATATCCCTCAGCTGCTTTCCCCCATTGTTAGCACTTTACTGTGGTGCATTAAAGGAAAAAAAAAGGTATGTATATATATTTTTAAAAGACACCATCTACAATAGTAACACAACTATAAAGTACCTCAGAATGAATCTAAGAAAAGGCATACAAAGCATGTATGCAGAAAATTAAAATCTGACTGGAAAACATTAAGGAAGAACATGTAAGTGTCCAGGGGCAGCTCACAGACCCAAAGAAGCAGCTACTTCTCCACCTGTTCAGAGACCGTGTGGTCTCACCTCTCCACTCCTCTCCATGGTCCTGGCATGTCAGAAACCAGCCTAGTACAGTTTCCTCCTACCACCGGGTATTTCTTATGGAGGAGAACCCTTCTCACACTCTTCTCAAGCATTCGACTGTCTTAATCCCATCCTATACACACATGGTAAATGGAGTTCACCTTTCCAGAACTTTCGAACCTCACTACTTTGCACTGCCTGACGTGGTCCTTAACTCAAAAGTATTGACCTCTAACCTCACAGGAATAAGGAAGGCCTCCACAATGCCAAAGAAATCCTGACCCGCCTGGGAGTGGAGCCGTCTGATGACGACTGTATTGCAGTCCAGCACGTGTGTACCATTGTCTCATTTCGCTCTGCCAACCTGGTGGCTGCAACGCTGGGCGCCATCTTGACTCGCCTTCGAGATAACAAGGGCTCACCCAGGCTGCGGACCACGGTTGGTGTCGACGGGTCTCTTTACAAGACGCACCCACAGTGAGTCTGCCCTTTGCTATAATTGGCATTCAGTACCCTTTTGGGCTAAAGACTTTCTCCAGAGGTCAGACTTTTGCACCTAGTGAAAGTTTTTTGGCAGATAGGACAATACCTAGTTCTTGGCAGAAAGGTCAGAGTTGCCTTGTGGGGAAGTATCCAAGCCCTCAGCCGATACTCGCTGGTGTTGCTTCTACCCTGCACTGTCGTCTCTCCTCGCTTCCTAAGTCTTGTTAGAGATGATAGCTGCCAGGAGCACTGAGTGGAATGTGTCTGTATTTTAAATTCTCTTGCTTGTCTGCATTTCATCAGGGACCTTCATCATCATCATGGCCTGGGTCGTAGGTGCAGTGCTCATTCTTGTTTTAGAAGCTCCTGTGAAAGTCCCCCAAACCCTCAGACATTACTTTTTAAAATGGGCAACTTGTCAACGCTTTGCATCTGAGAGCCAGAGAGAGAAGTCGTCAGCAGTCCCTGCTGTTGATAAAGGCTCCTCACCATGCTGCCGTCTCATCTCATGGACGCCTTAGCTTCACAAGCCTTCTGTGGCCACTGAGAACACGGCTTGTACCTTTTAAAAGGCTAAAAATTAATTCTAAGTCTTTATATACTAAATTTTAACAGTAACTGCCTGTGGCATGACTTTTTGTACAGGACCTCAGATTTTTTTCCCCACTGTATATGTGATGTGCATGGAAAGTGCCTTGCAGATAATACAGTACCTTCACACCCAGTTCTCATGACAGTTTAAACAAATGTTGGTTTAAATTGAAACGGTTCTGTGTTGCTGAGGGCGTAGGGTTTGAGCTAGTTAGATTTCTTATCTGCCAAGTTCATAATTTTATTTCTTTGTATTCTTAAACTATTTGTAAAATTCTTGATAATAAAACTAACCATCTTTTGGTTGGGGGGGTTCTTGGCAAATTTTTGGACAAGAATGCTTAGGGATTTGCAACATCACATTAAGAAATTTTTTTAATTGTGGTAAAATATACGTAATATAAAGTTTACCGTCTTAACCGTTTTTGAGTGTACAGTTAAGTACACTCACACTGTTGTGCAGCCATCACACGAGCCATCTCCAGAACTCTTCATCTGCAACATCACATTTTTTTTTTTTAAAGATTTTATTTTTCATTTTCTTCCCCAAACCCCCCCGGTACATAGTTGTGTATTTTTAGCCGCGGGTCCCTCCAGTCCTGGCACGTGGGACGCCGCCTCAGCATGGCTTGATGAGCGATGCCATGTCTGCTCCCAGGATCCGAACCAGCGAAACCCTGGGCTGCCGAAGCAGAGCGGGCGAACTTAATCACGTGGCCACGGGGCCAGCCCCCCAACATCACATTTTTAAAAATGACTTTGATTAAATGTTTTTTGTTTCAGAAGTAACGTATATTTGGTATAGAAACCTTAGCTAGTTCAAAAAATTACCAACAGAATAGTAGTCATTTTTAATCCCACCCCCTGGAGTTGACCACTGTTAATATTTTGGGGTTCTGGTTTCCCTGGTTCCTTTTGCAGGCAGCCTTCCATATTTACAACAGACCACACCCTTTGAGAAAGTTCCATGTCTCACTGAGAAAAAGTCCTCTTCTAGCCACTAAAACATGTCTAGACTCTTGGGGGCAGCGAGGGGAAGGGCCAAGTGATAATAAAAAACAAGAGCGATTATTTATTGAGACCTTCCTCAGCGCTGGTTACTAATCTTAGCATTTAATGAACTCATTTGGTTCTTACCACATCACTGTCAGCCGGATTCTGTCATCCTCCTTGACTCTGAGGTTAAGTGACGGGCCCAAGGTCACCGATGTGGACGTGGTGGAGCTCACCCTGGTCTCCTGATCTGACTTCAAGCACTGGGCTCTTGACTGCTGTGCTGCATTATCTCCTTGTCATGGTGGAGGACAGAATTGGACCCTGAATTTTCTGTAGTCAGTACTTGTATAATAATGAGAATCCTCTCCTTTTCTGTATGACTGGGCCATTTCATTTTTCCTTTTTACCTGTCTGCATTTGCTGGCTTTTCTATAGTGGATGTGTATGACTTGTGTCATGAGAAAAGAAAGTGTAGAAAATGGAATGAAAGCGTGGGAAAAGAAAGAAAGGGGTACTGGGAGTCCCTGAAAGATGGCTCAGTCCAGCTGTTGTGGCGCGTCCACCCTCCTCCCACCCCCAGGTATTCCCGGCGTTTCCACAAGACTCTGAGGCGCTTGGTGCCCGACTCCGATGTACGTTTCCTCCTCTCGGAGAGTGGCAGCGGCAAGGGGGCCGCCATGGTGACCGCAGTGGCCTATCGCCTGGCTGAGCAGCACCGCCAGATAAAGGAGACCCTGGCCCACTTCAGCCTCACCAAGGATATGCTGCTGGAGGTGAAGCGGAGGATGCGGGCTGAGATGGAGATGGGGCTGAGGAAGCAAACGAACGACCGGGCTGTGGTCAAGATGCTGCCCTCCTTCGTCCGCAGCACTCCAGATGGGACCGGTGAGGGCATCTTTTGGGGGCTCGGGCCCCTCCTGCTTCTCACACTGATGGCCACATCACAGTGGGGCTGCAGGGAGGTTGGCTCCTCCGACGGATGCGTGATTTTGGCAAGAGCTAGAAACTCACTCAAACCTCTCTTTTTCTGTTTTTACCACTGACTTGCCACATGTTGACAGTTGACTTCCCCGGTCAGGCTTCCAGGGCAAGTGCCATCTTAAAACCACAGCCTACTTGGAATTAGGAAGTGTTCTTAAAAGAACGAGGCTGGGCAAATCCCACAGCACTGAGATTGCTCTGGGTTCTCTGACAAATACAGTAAACCAGCAGGAGGATAAACACCCAGTGGACCCTTCCTGAGCCCTGACAGGGTGTGTGTGAGGCAGACAGGGGCCTGGGGATTTTACACCAGGCAGGTTCGAGAACAGAATCCAGCCCTTCTTGCTGACCTTGCTGGTGCTCATTGGAGCTGAGCGCTCTGGGGACTCTGAAGGGCTCTTTGGGTGGGTCCTCACAGTAATGAATGTTGGTGGTATGAATGTCCTACCTGTAAGTTACTTACTATTGCATTATAGTTTTGCATTATAAACCACCCTCAAATATACTGCCTTAAAACAGCAACCATTTATTATTGCTCATGCGTCTGTGGGTCAGCAATTTAATATTGCTCGTCTGGGCCAGGCTCAGCTCATCTCCGCTGGACTCATTCATGTGTCTGTACTTGCTGGTGGGTCAGCTGGGAGGCCTCCCTCCCAGGCCCAGCAGTTGGCTGTCTGTCAGCGGGGGTGCAGGAGTGCCTGGCCATGTGTCTCATCCTGCTGCGGACCACTGGGCTTGTTCACATGGTAGCAGCAGCATCCGCGAGGGAGAGGGAAGACTTCAGAGCCTCTTGGAGGCCTAGGCTGGGTCTGGCTCAGCTTTGCTTTTGCCACACTCCATTAGCCAAAGCAAATCATAAGGCCAGGCCAGATCCAAGGGGAGAAGAAATAGACTCCATCTTTTGATAAGAAGAACTGCAAAGTCACTTTGCACAGAAGCATGCGTACAGGGAGGGGAGTGATGGGGATCACTTTTGCAAACAACGACATAAATTATTAATTTTTATATGAGGTTCCCTAAAGTCAGGTCATTGTTGCCAAGCTTTTTAGTAACCCTGGTGAAGTTTGTTTATTGTGACAGCTGATTCATC